TCGATATTTATAAATATATTATTTTTATACCCATTATTTACTTTATTTTTTTACAATTTAAGTAAAATACTTGGAAATAACAGGTATAATAACAGTAAAACTCATCCTCACCCCGCCGCTGAAAAATCGAAGGGATCTGGAGTTTTTATTCTTGGTTTTGGGCTTAGCTTGGGTTTAGTGGTTATAGGTTGGAAAGATGGGTTGGGTCCTGATTTTTCCTCCAACTTTTAGAATCCATTCCATAAAGTTTTCGTCATTTCTTCTATTTTGAATCCCTTGATTTTTTATTTTTTTTTAAATCTCTTCATAATTTTTTTTTACATGTAGAAGCTGAAACAAAACAAAAATATATTAGTTAAAGAAAAGAAATTTTTTTTATGATTTTCTTGATTAATTTTAATTTTTATATTTTTTTAATAAAAAATTTAATTAAACTAAATAAAAACTCAAGTTATAAGAGTGCTTTTTGTTTTTACTACAATTTCAAACGTCAAAAATTTGCAAATTTAGATAAATAACTCTATTAACTAATTGAGTAGGGCTAATAAATAACTCTGGTAATGAATGAAAATTGCAGAAATAAACCCCTTTCATTCTCACCTACTTTATTAGTTTTACTTTAGGGAAAAAAAAAACAAAACTATTTGGGTTTTACTTGGATCTTTGGATAACAATCTAAATTTTAAGACCCACAAAAGTTATTATGGTTCAACCTCAACGTTGGAGATTAGGGCTGGTGGTCTTATTAGAAATGTTATAGACCACTAGGATATATTCTATAACCAAAAGGTCCAGAACTGAGACATAACAGCCACCTCGGAACTTGCTATGTGCATTGACGCAGTGCCCAAAGGCAAGACCACCCCTTCCCCACCTTCTTGTTTCTCACCGTCCCTTGTTGTATCTATTGAAACAACGTTATCTCTTGATTAGCGTGGACAGGCCTCACCGAACACCCTCAGTTTTCCTTCGTCCTGAGGATCCAAAAGTGAGCCATTACAAGACATGTCCGCTAAAAATTTAGATCAATTCACCTCTGAATTTCCCCTATAAGTACCATCTCACTTCCTCAATGCAAAACCACAAAAGCGTTATCACACAAAAAGCTCGTCTACAAGTTTAGATCATCATTTTGTCTTTGTTCGTGCTCATTTCAACATCATGGCAGATCAATACCAGCTCAGGGAAATGAAAACAAGGCTGCAGTCGAAACGACTAGTCGTGGCATGTTCGATTTCTTGAAGAAGAAGAAGGATAAGGATGTTGCCATGGCAGACGCCACCAGGGAGAGAAGCCTACCCTCAAGGAGAAACTCCACCGTTCAAGTAGCAGCTCTAGCTCGGTTAGCTCTCTCGTCAACCAAGTCAAAGTCAAAGTGTAGTTTTTTTAATGAACGAAAAAGTTAATGCTTAATGCTTAACTATTATACAGAATTTGAATCTTTAATATTAAATTGTAAGTTAATAAGTATCAATTTCATTATATTTGATCTCCCTTTGTGAATTCTGCATATATATATATATATATGTGCTTTAACTGTTTAGCTTTCTTATGAATAATATTGCAGTCTAGTGGAGAAGAAGAAATTGGAGAAGATGGGGTTGAGAGAAATAAGAAAAAGGCATTGAAGGAGAAGCTCAAGGAAAAGATATCCGGCCACAAGGAGGGAGCAGAGCACAAGGATGCACCAGCCCCAGTTGAAAATCCAGAGAAGAAGAAAGGCATTTTAGATAAGATCAAAGAGAAGCTTCCTGACCACCATAAGAATGCAGACGAGCATCTTCCGGATAATGAGCCAAAAGAAAAGGGAATCCTGGACAAGATCAGCTAGAAGATGCCTGGCTGCCAGAAGACTGAGGAGGAGAAAACTAAGGAGAAATGAAGTTTAATAAGAAACAATGCTTTTTCAAGTGCTGCTTCTCTGTTGCGTCATTGTAATGTTTTTATGTTCTTGAAAACTGTTTCATCTGCTTGTAGGATTCTGGATTTGATCATTTCTGCATATTGTATCAAGTATTGGCTATTGTAATGTCTATCAGTGTAATGTATTTCACTTGAAGAAGTTAGTTTATCCTTAGGAGCCCTACATCCTCAATGCATAAGAAAGAAATTATTCTAAAAGTTAGACTAAACAAACACGAATGATTTACATTTCCATCCACCTAATCACCTAATCACACCAACAAAATTGCTGATTTCTTCAAAAGCAATTACAAAACAATATTATTTTCCCAAAAAGAGAGCATTATGAACATTCACATTCACTGATAAGTACATGAATTTGTCAGACTAAGTGGCTTCCCGAGCATGTCGCCTCTCAAAGCAACCGAACACCTGATTCGCCTGTAGAATTTGGTTTTCACAAGTTTGCCCAAAATGTAGGCTCTTGATCTCATCGTAAATGTCAGGTTCAATGGGACTGATACACTATTCTGGTGCGCAAACGCATCCGTAAGAACTGGTATCCCTCCATATAATGGCACTTGATGCCCAGACACTACTGTTACTAAAGTCCTCTTACTCTTCCTTGATTGTGTGAACTTATTCATCTATTGCATAGATTTATAAGAAGGTCAGAGCAATAACATCAAGAACCATTTCATCTAAAAACTTACTCCGTCATGTAACTGTCCAAAAAAAATTGGACCCACCACATACCCTCAAAATAACGGTTTTACCCTTTAATATATTATAGATTGATATTAAACACATGGGTAAAAAAGACTTTTGATACCTGTCCAGAGGCTACCTTGAGCTGGAAATAGCTAAGTTCCCATGGAGTGGCCGTGACGTGGAAGGTAAAGAAGGTAGCTGGGTTTGTGAATGAAATCTTGACCGTTGAATTCAACGACAGCATGTCTGTTGGCACTCCTGATTGATCACTACCAGCCTGCACGTAGAAGTTCTCGAATACCATGTTCTGCAAACACACGTCTAGGCACTCGTTTAGGGCGTGTTTGGTTCATTGTTTTGATTTAAATTAAAATTAAATTGTAATTAAAAGACTAAACCCGCATAATTAAGCAGTCAAAACGAACGGTTTCACATTGATAACCCCCACTTCCCTGTAAAACGTCCGTTCCACGACGAAACTCGTTAACTCACTCACCCAGTGAGTTAACTCAATGCTGAAAATATTTCATAATTTTCATTAAAGAAAAAAGGCTTGAAAAAATGGTGTATATGTTTTACGCCCAATACCCAACAGACATTTTGCAGATTAAAAGAAAAGTGAAGATAAAAATAATTTATGAGTCAGTGAGTCAAGACGGGTAAAACCGAGTAAGCTTAAAAAAGAACAGATCACCAAAAGGAATGAAAATTCTCACCTCCACTGAGATTTCAGGCTTGTAAGCTCTGCCGGCTCCGTATAGAATCAAACAGAAGACCATAAACAAAAGAAAAAACATCGAAACAAGGCAAACATACAGCCTGACTTTGCCGCGGCCGTCATCATGACCATCCACTTCTTCGTCGTCGTCCTCCCCCTCGTGACGGAGCTGTACGTGTTTGCAGGCAGAGAGGTTTCTGGGATTCTTGAGGGACGCCGAGAACCTCGACGTGGAGGATTCCCTGGAATGGTGAACGGGCGAGCACTGGGAGTAATGGTGCGCTGGGGACCCTGTGGGGCTCGACTCGTATGACGTTTTCTCGACATCGTGGTTTGAAGGGCTCTGCACGTAGTAGACCGGCCGTCTGGGGGATCGCGGCGGCCACGAGGCGTCGAGACTCGTTGCCTCCGAGTCCGTTTTCGCGTGCATTTTGACGTAGGCTTTGGGGTTTGTGGCTTTGAATAGGACTTTTTTTTCTTCTGAAACAAAGAAAGGAAATTATCAGGAAGGGGAAAGCAAGGGACTTGACTTGTATGGTCTATGCTTTGTTTGGGAGAATGTAAATTCAATTTGCGTTGCAGTTCACACCACATCACGCAATTAAAAACAAAATTATTAATAAAAATATAAATTTTAATATAATATTTTTTTATCCAATAATTTAATAGATTGTGCAATGCGAACTGAAAAATTTTTTTTTTCGTAATTAATATAACAAATTTACATTTCTATGCCTCAAACTTTAGGGTCGTTTATTCCAACGCCCTCTGCCGCCCTAACTCCTATTTCTCTGCACTTCTATACTACATTATATCAATTATCAAATTTATTTGGTTTTATTATTTTTTTTCATTTTCTTAAAATAGATAAATAAATCTGTTTTTCACTACTTAAACTTTATTATTATCTGTAATTCTCTACTTTATCAAAAAAAATTTATATTATAATTCATTTTTTAAAAATAATATAAAAAAATATATACTCCTTCTCTCCCAAAATAATATAAGTTTTTTAATTTTATATTTAGATTAAGAATTTTTAGAAACAAAATTTATTTTTACCTATTTTATTTTGAAAAAATAAATTAAAATAAAAAGTTATTTTAATTAGAGGATAAATAATTAAAATTAAAAAATAATTACTTTCTTTGTTTAACTTTAGTATACTTAATTTTTTATTTAGAGCATTCAAATTTAATTGTCAATTTTTCCTTTTTAAGATTTTTTTGGTACCCTAATTATGGATTACATAAGAGGGATAACTCCTTTATTTTCAAATTTCTCTCTACTCGATTTAAAATTCAAACTTGAAATCTCTAATTTTGAGTCTAACATTTTTAATTATTAAGTCAACCTCTTGGGGATAATTTTTTTTTTAATGATGTTATTTAATGTATTTATTCATATTTTATATTCGTTTTAAAAGATAATTACAATATATAATAAATAAAAAATTTTATTTAAATGGTAGTTAATTAAAAATAAATATAAAATTTTATTAACAAATTATTACATTTTTATTTTATTTTATTAGAAAAAAAACTTGATCTACTAAAAAATAAATAGAGAAAGTAAAAAGTTAAAATAAAAAAATATCTATTTTCCTTAAATTAAGAAAAA